ATGTGTTTGGCTATCCTCTGGGTTATATGGTGGGAGAGGAATCAAAGGATTTTTGAAGACAAAGAAATGCCATTCGAGGATTTATTTGAGAAAGCAAAATACCTAGCGTCTATTTGGGCTTCAACAGATGCATCATTTAAGCATTATTCATTATCTTTAATCTTGTTAAGTTGGGAGGATGTGTTGAGATAATCTGTACAGTTTGCTTGTTTTTGCTCTTTGTCATGTTTGCTTTTTATTATTTGTTTTTCAGTTGAAGATGGTTCTAACCATCTAGAACTTCATTTGTATTGGCTTCTTTCTTTATAAATGAAGTTTTTGTTCTTATATATATATATTTATTTATTTATGGTAAGTGATGGAAGCAGTGCTGTGAAAAAGAAAAGGAGTAATACATCTCGTCGTCCTCGGAATGACTCGCAGCCTCCTTTGGATTACCGTGATGTGTCATCCTTATCAGATGGAAGCAAAGGATCTAGTGAAAAAGATATTGCTTATGGTTCAGTTACTCCAAAGAAAGAATTGAATGTGAACCTATGTAGCTCAAGGGTCTCATTTAGTAATAATGCAGAATCTGAATCGGGCAAGAATGAGATGAAAAATGAAGATGGAGGATTTGTAGATTCTGATGAAGCTTCTAACAATGGCTCTTTTCGAGGCAGTAATGAACAGAAGTACAGTGGTATCGATTCTAAAAGAAGCAGCAAAGGTGTCCTTGCACCTGCAAATTGGACAAGCACGACCAACATCGGTCATTCTCATGATTTGGATAGTGAGAATAAAGTGAAAAAAGTGAAGCTTAAAGTTGGTGGTGTTACACGAACCATTCGTGCCAAATCTATATCTGATGGTGCATCTGCTATCGGGTCGTCAACTACAAAATCTTCTCGTGTTTCAGATGCCCCTCGTCCTCGACGGAAGTTAGTGCAGGTATCATTGACCGTTTCCTTAAAATCAACTCATTTGTTTTGGCACACATTTTCACAGTGAGGTCTATTTACAGTTTTGTTGTATCTGAAGTGGAAGCTGGCATTGGCCATAAGGAGATAAAAATCCCATGAACGCTTTTAAAGCTGCACCTAAGTTTGTTTTAGTTACTAGTGTTCTTTGTTCTGTTAAGCTGTGTCCTGGAAATAATTGTTTTTTGTTCCTGTCTGGATCACCAAAATGTATTTTTCTTGCTATCTTTGTGGCTGTTTTTTGGTTCTGTTTACCTAACTGGCAAGCACTGTTGAGTAAGTTATTTATGTGAACTTATATGTTCCGTGAGATGTTTCAATGAGACTCTGAAGTAATTATACATTTGGTGCAGGATCCGGACGAAAATCGCTCCTTTACTTCAGACAAGAGGATCAATTTGCAAGGTAATGCATGGAAAGATTCTAAAAAGGGCTTTAATGAAGGGAAGGCGAGTTCTTTGGGGCCTGATGAAAATCTTTTTTTGGAGGAAATGAAGTATGAACCTATTCGTAAGAGCAAAAGAATCTCAAGGAAACGATTGATTGACAAAGCCCTGGATAATGAAGATGATGACAATGTGGAGATTTGGTATCTTGAAAAACTCAAAACTTCTAGGTTTGCCAGTGATTACAGTGCAGAATACCAACAGGACAAGGAAAGAGAAAACAAGAAACAAAGAAAGATTTCAAAGGTATTAAAGTGGAACTCTGAGCACGAAAATGATCTGGAATATGGCTCTTCAAGATCAGGGAAGCAAATTAAGAAGTCCGGATCAGAAAGAGTATTAGATGATACTGATTATGTGGAAGAAGACTCGATTTCTGATGACGAGCCTAGTAGCAAGAAGAAAAAATCAATGAAGGAGTTCGTTGATTCAATGGTTGATCATAAAAAGGAAATGACGGTAACTACTCGTCAACGAGCTCTGCAAATTGGCAAGGATGTCTCATCCAGCCTAGGTGCAAATATTATCGAGTATCCCAATGGGTTGCCACCTGCTCCACCAAGAAGTGGGTGATGTTTTCTTTCATGCTTTTCGGTTATTTTACTTTCAGAAGCACCTTAAGTAAATGTTGAACCTCCATAATGTTGATTCCATTGGTTTTCTTTGCAGAGCAAAAAGAGAAACTCTCTGAAGTGGAGCAGCAACTGAAGAAAGCTGAGGCTGCTCAGAGACGCAGGATGCAAGTAGAGAAGGCTGCAAGGGAATCTGAGGTTTCACTTCCTTCTATTCACTATTTTCTTCTTTTTTTTAATCTTCCCGATGAATTTTTCCTAATTTACATATCTATTTGTTTTCTTTTCTTGGACCTTAGGCCGAAGCAATCAGAAAGATCCTTGGCCAAGATTCAAGTAGGAAGAAACGGGAAGACAAGATTAAGAAGCGCAAAGAAGATCTTGCACATGTAATGGCGACATAAAAGGAATGCTTCCGTTGGCTTCCTTCCCTATGTCATGTGAGAGAACATTCTTATTAATTGCAGCTTATTTTATCAATCTTTGCAGGAGAGGGCCACGAATGCCGTGCTTCTTGCATCAGATTCTGTTAGATGGGTGATTGGTCCTTTGGGAACTATAGTAACATTTCCGAACGAAATGGGCTTGCCAACTATATTTGATTCGAAGCCTTGCAGGTATCACTTGCAAATATGTATGCAAACCATCTTATGGGATGTTTGTTTTAAGGGTTCGTCTCTGGTTCTGACTCATGGTTTTTGGTTATCTATAGTATTTTTTTCTCAAAAAATTTGAATTTCAAAAATCAGAATCATGAATCATGGTTATGAATTCATAAACTAAACGTCCCATTAGTGATTTCTGATATATGTTTGTTTTCTTGCTTCCCAGGAATCTCTCAAGAATCTCTGAAATTTTTTTAGCTTCAATAGGGTCAAATATAACTTCTGATTTTGATAAGTGTTGGAAATCTTTTTGTCAATATTTGCATCAACTCTGCCTGTACTCTTAGTTATAGATAAATTTTTCTTCCATGTTTTTATTGGAAATTCTATTATTATTTTTTAAATCTAATTTTATTGTTGTTGAATTCAGTTACCCGGCTCCTCGAGAGAAATGTGCCGGTCCATATTGTACAAACCCTTACAAGTACCGTGATTCGGAGTCAAAGCTTCCCCTTTGCAGTCTCCAGTGCTACAAGGCAATCCATGAAAAGACCAGACCTCTGACTGCCTCCTGTTAAATTTGTCCACTTGCCTATTTTAGCTTTGTTTGGTGTTCTTAATCCTTATCATTAGTGAAAATAATAAGGGATTTGTGAATATAATTGTGTAGTAAATCTGCTTCCCAATTGAACTATAAAGAATGTAAATCGGAATTTGATGTATAGATACCCAATTCCCTGAGGTCAGGCCCTTTGAGGTAATAAACATGGTGTGATTCTTCTTTTCGTCCGTTGAGGCAATAAATATGGTGTGCTTCTTCTTTTCGTTCTTTTTATTCTTCTTGATAAAAACAAAGGTATGGTTATTATTAGTGTTGTACGAGAAAATATGCTTTGACACGTTAGAGCACGATAGCGCTCTACGTGGCCCTACAAATAACCGCATCAGCAGACCGTCGACCCGTTATACTGCCGATCCCATGAAATCTCGGCGTTAATCTGGTCCATATTGGGGGTCTCTCTTAGGTCGACCGTGCAAGGGCCAACTGGAAGCCAACCATATAAATGGGAGGCCCCCTGGGGTAACGTCTGGGTTTGGGGGATGTCTGTAATACATGCATTAATTACGACGGTGGAAGGTTGCAGGGAGTGCAGAGCCGTAATATAGGGCCAATTAAGGTGAATGAACAGTCCAAAAGGTGATTAGTTGGCTATGGGTCTAGACCCATAAGATAGTAGGCACTCGAGTGTTGGGTCCACAGAGGAAAACCACCTCCGGAAGTAAACTTGGGCTATAAAAGAGGGACAAAGCCCTAAGCTCAAGAGAGGTTTTTTCTTTTTACACATGTAATCGGAGAACAGAAAAATATATACAAAAGAGACGGTGGATGTAGCTCTTTATTAATAGAGTGAACTACTATAAACTTCGTGTGCCCATTTATTTAGGCATTACATTATATTTCCTTCACCACAAAGCTTACTCAAGCACTTCGCAAGCCTAATTTCGAATATACATCCGCATTAGGCCGGTAACCCTACAGGATACCAAGGGGTAACCCGGAGCAATCCTGTTGACGAAATTTGACTGTCAACAATTGACGACTCCGCTGGGGACCGAACCCAGAATCTCTGGTTCATACGTTTCGACCATCGACAAATAAGGTAGTTAGCGACCATGCCTCCAAGAAGGAGAGATACCACCGCCAACCAAGGCAGCCAGATGGAGGAAAACACCACACATCCGGCTCATGACGGGAGCGGGGAAAACCAACCCCCGGCAGGAATTGGAGCTCCACCCCCAGATGTGCTGCAACGTGACCCAAGGCAGATGCAGGCCCAGCTCAACGCTCTGACAGACTTGGTGCGGGGGCTAACGACCATCGTCGAAAGAGTGGAAAGGAGAAACTCTGTGCCACCACTAGAAGATGCCCCGAGACCCTCAAGAGCAGCCATGGCAGAAAACCAAAATCCTGATAACCGCCAAAGCGCTTCAGAAGGAATCGGGGACAGTGAAAATATGGAAGGCAACCAGAGACTTCGACCATCTCAATCTCTCGGCAACTGTTGGAGGGCCGCCAGACGCCGAGCTCAAGAGAACAGAGTGGCAAAAGGCTTGCAGAACCTTGAAGTGCCGCCTCAGAACCAAGGTGAAAATATCCCTGGAGATTCGGGGTCAGTACGAGAAGGTGGAAACCCAGCGGGCAGGCAAGATGCACGGGGGGTATGAGCCTCCAAAGAAGGCGTCTCCGCAATCTCGATGGAGGAAGCGCGAGCCATCATAGAACGAATGACGAGCTTAGAAGAAAAATTTACGGGTGATGTTGCTAGCCTAAAAAAGAACATATGACAAGTGGCAGAAGTGGTAAACGTCGACATCACTCCAAGTCGGCTGCACGACCACCCATTCATCGCGAAAATCATGGCGCTGCCTCTTCCAGACAAATATCGGTCGCCACCGATCCCACCATATGATGGCATAGGGGATCCAGACGATCACCTGAAAATGTATACAGGGCATATGCTTCTACATGGGTATGCAGAAGAAATCATGTGCCGGGCCTTCCGTAACCATCTGACAGATTCTGCCCGAAGATGGTTCAGAACGCTTAAACCAAGCTCCATTTCTAGCTGGAATGAACTGAAAGAAGCTTTCTCCCTCCAGTTTATCAGAGTGAAGAAGTATGTCCCTCCAAAGCATAACTTAACGACGATTTACCAAAAACCAAACGAGTCATTAAAAGAATGGCTTGTAAGGTACGGAGAAGCTGTCGCTACCACAACAGATATGACTAACCGGGAGGCCCTGACGGGGGTGATGTCCAGCATGAAGAAAATCACTCCCTTCAAAAGGGACCTAAACCGGAAGCCACCGTCGACTTACAAAGAATTCCTAGCACGGGCGCAAGGATACATCAACGCCGAGGAAGCTGACGTGAGCAACCTTGAACACAGGTCCAACAAAAATAAAGGAACTGAGCAAGAGTCGACTGCAGGAAAGCAAGACGGTAAAAAGCGACGAGGCAACGGAGACAAGCAACCTGCCTCAACATCGAACCCTCTAGATGCCAAGAAGCCAAGGCAAGATGAAAGCCGTAAGCCTCGACCTTTCCAGAGGTATGACTCTTACCATGAACTTACTATAGGGATCGAAGAGGTGTTCAACCAAGTCGGACGAGGGAATCTATTACGCCGACCCGAACCTATGAGGTCGGACCCAAGCCGAAGGAATCAGAACAAATATTGCAGGTTCCACGGCGACGTCGGCTATAACACCAACGACTACGCCGACCTTAAGGATGAAATAGAGCGGGTGATCCGCGAAGGAAGGCTGCAGAAGTTTAAGGCAGAGCGGAGGCTAAGGAATGACAACCATGGCGGCCAGAATGACGATCGACGCTAAGAAGAGAATCGATGACCAGAGGACCGAGAACCTGTCGGCGTCATAAGAACAGTCCTCGGCGGTCCATATATCGGAGGAGACTCGAGGAGGTCCCAAAAGGATTATGCCCATGAGGCCATAGGGGTATACCCAGAGAGGTTTTGGAATCTCTCAACAGCAAAAATAGCAAGGTACAACAGTGCTGATGTGGCATTCAACGAAGAGGACACAAATGGGGTCCATTTCTACCATAATGATGCCTTGGTAGTAGAAGCGATAATCGAGAACCACACCGTATGCAGAATCCTGGTGGATAACAGGAGCTTGGTGGACCTCCTATACGCTGATTGCCTAGAAAAAAATGGGGCTCCCTAAGAAGCAATTAGAAAAGACATCCCGGCCGTTATACGGGTTCACTAGGGATTCTGTCATCCCCCGGGGGACTATCCAACTACCAATAACCGCAGGGGAGAAGCCTAGGCATGCCACGACAATGGCCAACTTCATGGTAATAAAGGGAGGCTCACAATACAACGCCGTAATTGGAAGGCCGACCATTCAGGCGTTAAGGGCAATAACCTCAATTTACCACTAAAAGGTTAAATTCCCAACTCCGAATGGCATGGGCGAAATGAAAAGCAATCAATACAAAGCTTGAGTCGCCTACTCTGACGCCCTACGTGGATACGATCAACTAGGGAGGCAAGAAGCCAGAGTGGTCCATCAAGGTGCCATGGAGGACATAGACCCCCGAGTTCAAGAAGAGATCACCTAGTCTCAACCAATCGAGCAGCTGATAGAAGTCCGGGTGGATAAAGATGAGCCAACAAAAGTGCTGAAAGTAGTTCAGACTTAACTCCGGCGCTTAGGATTGAAGTCGAGGGTTTTCTCAGAAGGAACCTGGAGATATTCGCCTAGACTCACGCCGACATGAAAGGGATCGACGCCAAAGTCATGTGCCATACATTGAACGTCGACCTCTTACATTCCCTCAAACGATAAAAGCGCCGACCAATGAATCCTGAAAGATACGAAGCGCTAAAAGAAGAAGTCGACAAGTTAATCAGTAATGGATTTATTCGGGAGGCCCATTATCCTAGCTGGGTTTCAAACCCCGTTTTGGTAACAAAACCCAACGGGATGTGGAGGACATGCGTCGACTTCAGCGACCTAAACAAAGTGTGCCCAAAAGATGGTTTTCCACTCCCCCAAATAGACCAAATGGTCAACGACACAGCTGGCCATGAGATGTTAAGTTTCATGGACGCCTACTCCGGCTACAATCAGATCCCCATGCATCCATCCGACGAAGAGCACACGTTATTCATAATTGACAGGGGCCTTTATTGCTACAAGGTAATGCCCTTCGTTTTGAAAAATGTAGGGGCAACATACCAAAGGCTCGTGAACAAAATGTTCACCAAATTGATCGGAA